GTAGATTTTTTTTTTTTTTTTTGTTTGGGGGATGTAAAGATTTACAAACTTGAAATCTGCCTTTTCTACCTGTATACTGCTCCCGACCACTAGAGGAGATATTCTGCCTTCAAGCTAAACGAGTCGTGTTTTTTAGGCAACTAAAAAGGCCTGTTATTCTTCAGCAGTACACAAACTGTACAGTCAACATTCACAATGAAAACTCAAATTACTCCAATCGCACGCTTCTGCTGCCATTATTCTTTAGTTGACTCGAAGAGAATCCCTTTTCGTATTAGCTACAATATTGAGGTGTGGTTCTTGTGCTTTCATATCATGAATATGATCATGCCAACATGACTTGAAGGCAGCTATAAATCTTTAATTAAATTTGTACCCTTTTTAGGTCAAGAATGCATTCCTTTTTTGTTTTTGAGATCTGAAAGTATAGTTTGAGTTTTACTTTCTGTACCTACTATCAAATATGTTTGTTTACAGCTAGTATATGAGTCCATTTGAGACAGTCTGCTGTTTTTTCCATAGTTGAAATTACTTGATTGGACAAAATCTAAAATTGCTTTAGGAAATAAAAGTAAAAATAATAATCGGGTAGAAATAAGATTTTAGATGCTTGAGTTTCAATCTCATGGCGGTGATAGCTGGTTTCCATGGTGACCATCCCTCACATCTGGTTGCCATGGAGAGAGACAGCAATGCATGCTGTTTTCTTGTGACCCCAGCACTTTTTTTTCTCACAGCCGCTTGAAAGGACTGAGAAAAGCCTAAACAATGGATCAGCCCCTCTTTGTTTAGAGGAAAGCCCCGGCACAAACCCATGCTAGGGGTCAGTTTACACGTCAGAAGATATCGCCCACTGACAAAGAGGCTTCTGGGACTGCCGTAGCTTAATTTTGTTTGTTTTCTGTAGATACCTTTTTTTTTTTTCTTTACAAAAGGTAACTCATTCAGGATGATTTAATGCATTTCATCCTGAACATTTTTTATAATACATGTTGGATGCTTGATCACCCCGTAGCGTTTGATGAAAGCAATATTTTAGTGTAGATTTGAAGCAGTAGTTCACCTAAACAGTTCACAAATGAAAACTGTCATCGTTTACTCACCCTTATGTCGTTCCAAACCCGTATGCATGACTAGTGCACTACATCATAAGGCTTCTGAAGTCAGACAACTGAAATTGTTGTTGTCCCTTGAAAAACATGCTCTTTTAAAATGTCATTTGTGCTTCCTCATAATCAAATTTGACTCAGTTTGGCGTCATTGATATTAAAGCTGTTGTAATGCGTCATAGAAGGCTCTAAATGTGGTGCACAAGTCATATGGACCACACATTTTCATGGTGCTTTTCTGTTCTTGGAGCATCTTCTATCACTGTATAAAAAGAGCAGCATGAACATTTTTCAAAATATCTCCTTTTTCGTTACACGGCTGAATTCAAGTCATACCGGTTTGGAGCAACGTTACTGCGACAAATAACTGAATTTTCATTGACGTGTGAACTGTTAATGTTGTTTTGTGACTCTAATTATCAGGAGATTATTGTAGTTATTGTATAACGCTTTCTTTTGCTAAATTGCCAATTAATTAGTCTTTTTTTTTATTCATCAAAGGGCTTATTCCATTGGTTTATTATTAGCACTAACAGTATTTCTTAAGATTATTTTTTGTACAGACTCGACGCTTATTTCAGCTCAGGTTTCTTATTTTAACCTGCTGCTTGGCTGCAGTTTGTTGGTGTAAAAACTGATGGCTGGGAGGTTTAGCAGAAAATAAAGGTCAGTGCCTTTCACCAATGATTCATGTGTTTTGTTATTCATAGATTCACTGTCCACTGCATCTAGCAGCATGTCAGCTTGTTTTAAAAGAGCGTCACCGCAGAGAGGAGGAGGAGAGGAGGCTGCACACGCTCTTTGGCCGAGTGTTAAATGAACACAGAGGAAGTCTCTGTTCTCCTTATGTGCTTCACGCAGCTGACGTGTGACGTGTGTGGGCCGTGTGCACGCTTTCTGCTGACTACAAGAGGTCTGGTTATTGTATTATTCCGGAGAATACCAAAAACATTGATTTGATGTTATAAACACTATATTTCAGTTAAGAAGATTATGTTACCTGGATAAACAGGAAAGAGCATTTTGTTTAACATGTTGAAAACTATGACGGTATATATAAACCACACAATATGATTGCTGTTGCAGTTTGTTTATTCATCACGTTGGATTCTTGCAAAGTAAATTTGCAAATAAAAGAAGTCTTGGCCTCCTTATTGCACTGGAGATGACGTGAAACAGTAGGGTAACACAACTCCTGCTTTCAAAACACCACACATTTAGTCTGTTAGCATGTCAGTAAATACAGTCTTAGCCAGTACAATACGGCATTGAACACTGGGGCACCAACCTTACACACATTTTTTAAAAAGTGACAAATAGTTAGTACATTCATTGCAGTAATGCCCTTAATTAAGCACATTACATCCCCCACAATTCTCTACCGTGGTTGTGACTGGTAAATAAAATATGATATTATTAATGAAATACAATACTCCTGTGAACTGTAACATAATGCAATACTGTGGCAGGAATGCTACACCACCAGCTCGAGCGGAAACAGCTTGAGTGATTCTCACGAAAAACATCCAGGTTAAATTTCCATGAATGAAAAAAAAAAAAATATATATATATATATATATATTCCATTTGTACTGAATTTATGCTGATTTTATATATGTGTGTGTATGTACATATAAACTTTGTGTCTAGATTCTCATGACTGTACCAGGGTAATGGGAATTATGAGGGGAAATTTGCTTAATTGTCATAAAAACAATCACAATGCAAAAAACATTAAGCATCCTAAATATAGGGTTCATTTTCTTTACATAAAATACAACTTTTGATCTCGAGGTGAAATATGACCTGGACATTTCTTCGTGAGATTCACCTGCTGATTGTAAAGCTTTAGTTTGGTTATCAAGTTGACATTTTTGACAGATTAATCAAATATTTCTGTAACACTGAAACTTGTGATAGATTACACTTCTGCGTCCTGTTGTGATTTAACACAGAGAATCTTTCCATCATGTAATACAGATCTGATTATACTGTAACATTTCTTCACTGTAAAACCCAATGTTTGGTACCTTTATTTGCAGGAAAACACTATCAGTAAATAGACAAATACTGATGTTCCAGTATTAGCAATTAATACGTTCCTGCGTGTTTAGCAGTTTGAGTACGAGAAACACAGTGGTGCATCTATTTCACCATACGTGTATGCAGCAGATATGCGAGCATGTCCATCAACAAAAACAAAGTAACAACATGCAATGTTTTACATGTATGACAAGCGTATGACAGCAGGCAAGCAAAGGTTACGCATTAAGCGTTTCAGAACATCAGCTGCCCAATCCACACAGATTTGGGTCTCTCTAGTTGTAATGAGACTTCCAGCAGTATGTATAGCAGAGGCAACGAGGACATTCATATTGTAGGGAAAGCTCTAGGAAATAAGTCAATATTATAAAAGATATAGGCCTAAGTAAAATAAGTTAAAGTACCTATAAATGCACTAAATCAAGGGTCTTTCACAACACAAGTGCCCTCTAAACACGGTCAAAGGTCAGTGCAAGATAACTGGGTACCGTGTGCTTTAGTTTCATATCAACATTGGGCAAAAAATGAGAAAACGACTAACGTGAAGTCATTTATCAGCTGTGAGTCTCTTCAAGTCTGCTGTGGACGTCCAAACAAGCGCCAGCATTAAAAGTAGACAGGAATGTTCTTGCATGCTTTCAGAAAATAATCTGTACCTTTGTCTAAGCCACATTCCTGAGTCATTTACTGAGACCGAAGTGGTCTAAACCCACAAACTGACCAACACACACAAACACACACACTCCTCATGCAAGAGACTTTCTCGCTTCATTAAACACTACCCAGATTCAGCATGCAATTAGACATGTAAAATCACTCAAATATACACACAACTGAAACAAAATCAATCGTTAAAAAAAAATAAAACAATACATGTTTAACATCTAACACAAACTCCCTGTACCTTACAGTACAAAAAAAAAGAACTACTTGTAATGGGAAAAAAATCTTAATCTTACAATACTACAATAGAAGAAATTCCCTTTCTGTCTCAAAATAGTGCTGTACTCATTTGTTGGCTATATACACTGATCTGAGGTTATGCGTTTTACTACATGTACCACAATACGGTGAATCTAGTGAAGACACGGTCATATTTCAACCCAAAATAAACAAACCAATAAAATAAAATGAAAAAATTCATGCATGAAGAGTGTGAAGGTTTCTCATCATATAACTGCTTCATCATGTGTGGACACAATTATTTTGACGAATTATTAAAACCAGCATAAATTGAAGCTAATACAACAAATGCTAAAATGACGGATAAATCATTTACAGTTTAAATAAAGGAGAATGACGTTTTTTTAGTTGTTTTAATATTACAATAACGATCATGAGTTTTTCTCACGTTATGGTAATAGCAATTTGTGTTTAAATTATCATGAAAATAACGTCACGGTCAAAAATAAGCTGCGTTTTCTTTATTTAATCTTCTTTTTTTTTTTTTATAATATTTTTTTTATTTTGAATTTGAGGTGAAATATGACCTGAGAACATGTTCTTGACAGACTTCACCCAAAGAATAACTTATTAGCAAAAAATAAATTAAAATTGCATTATTTCTTTCAAACAATATTATATCACCAATAAAAAAGGTCTGTAATATCTGCCTCTGTATTTTGAAATATCTGAAAAAAAATGAGTACCACAGCATAATAGCTCATTAGTCATAAGATGGTCCATTTAGAAACTGGCAGAAGGGAGGCTAGATCTGCGGTCCAGGACATGAAGCTATCATTAAACACCACGCCACGAGCAGACAAGCCTTCGACTGGGAAACCGTCATGGAATATGTTATGTGTGCCAGATATGTGTGAATACCTTTACTGTTTGGTAACTCTGTTACATTGTACCTACACAGAAAGCTCTCATCAGCAAGAGAGAGTAGGTCCACAGCTATGAAGCCACAAGGCACCTCAACAGCAGGACGAGCGAGCCACTTGGAGCGGCTCAGCAGGGTGTGGGCGATGGGGTCCTCGCTGGCCAGAACTTCCTGGACAGCAGCCTCGAAAGCAGCCCCCACGTTCGTGTCGTCCTTGGCGCTGGTCTCGAAGTACGGACAGCAGCAGTTTTCCTCACACCAAGCCCGGGCCTCATCCTCGCCGACCTCCCGCTCCTCCTTGTCCACCTTGTTTCCCAGCACCACAAAGGGGAAGCGCTCCGGGTCTCGTACGTCTGAGTAATACATGAACTCCTGCTTCCAGCAGCCCAGGTTCTGGAAGCTCTGCAGGTCGTCCACGGCGAAGGTGAGCAGGCAGCAGTCCGCCCCGCGGTAGAAGGGTGTGCGCAGGCTCTTGAAGCGCTCCTGGCCCGCCGTGTCCCAGATCTGCAGGGTGACCAGCCGACCGTCGATCTCCAGGTCGCGGTTGAGGAACTCCACACCGATGGTGTGGAACGACTGCGAGTCGAAGCGGTCGGTCACGTAGCGGTTCATGAGGGAGCTTTTGCCCACGCCGCCGTCCCCCAGGAGAATGACCTTCAGCAAGAGGCTCTTCCCACTCATAACGGCCCCCGGTGCCACACGCGTTCACTGTAGCCTGACGAGCACAAATAACACCCACAATGACTTTACAGGTTAAATAAACAGACGTTCAATCAACAGCTGATGAACTATGAAAGGGCTAAACCTCTCAAAACCGTGTATGGCAGATAGATAATGGTTGTTTATGGGTCAGATGCTCCCTGAGACTTTGGCCGGGACAACACCTTCTCTGAGAGCACACGGATTGGTTAAACACAGGACTGCCATCTGCTTTGCTCTTTAATTGCAACTTTTAAGCTTGTGCTAAGATGAAAATCAGTGTGCGACAAACGTGATCTAATGTGATCATTTCCTGCCTCACCACAAGCAACAACACTCTAGCTTGGTTACTGTGATTAAATTCCAAAAATATGTCTTGTATTACCCTAAAGGTGCAAAATTTTGAAAGCAAAATCCAGTCATTTCAATAGCAATCAGTGCAATTGGGAGTTTTGCGTGAAAACTAAGAGGTTCCCACAGAGATTTCGCAGTGCTACACTGACAGTGGACAAGAGACCTTTATTTGCCTGCAAACTTTTGATGAATTTTTGCTCGTGACCACACCTTAACGCACCTAATTATAATATATTGGAGTAACAATTATTTCTTACAAATTTTACAATGATTATAAAACACAAACCTTCATCACTAATGGGATTTCCTTCAAACAGGGTATTCTTTCAGACTGTCATTTCTGTATCTTTTTTGATGATATTTGTGGCTAATACCAAATGTTTTACTGTAGTAGTTCTGGCGACAAGTACGGTTGCTATGGTGAATTTTTGTTAAAGAAAACCCAGACTAATTTTCACAGGCAGCACTTATACAAAGTCCGAAACGATACTGGCAGAATACAATGCATTATTCAGCGTTATTTAATATCTTAATAAAGTGTTTACTTGCGTATTTATTTAAATAACGTTACATCTAGAGGAAACCGATGACCGTTCTCTGCGCATGCGCACGCGTGCATGACAGCTGTGTTTTTAGCATACGAGTGCTAAAGCTAAGGTTTATTTTTATTACTCTCGCAATTGCTGCTCGATCTCAGCTCGTGCTATGACTAATAAACATGGCTGGTATTTTTATGTTCGTGTTTGGTGTCATTAGCCATATACATACTCTCAGCCCTGTTAGCTCTATCTAGCTATATGACTAGCACAGTTTCAGATGCTTTATTAAATAAAGTGCAGCACTGTTACGCATACGTGAACATACATACAGGAGAAAAAAAATTCACTCTGGTCTTAAATGACTTCAATCGTGTAAAAATACTCTCTGAATTACCTCATATCGTACCGCGAGCAGTGCTGCCAGTGCTGAGATTCACGCCGGGCGTGTGAGTGAGCGAGCGAGCGAGAGAGAGAGAGAATGTGATGAGTGTTCAAGCTAAATTAATTTTAATGACTCATTTTATGCAATTGTTTTATTGAGTAAGTTTAATTAATATTATATGGTATTAAAGAGGTCAAATAAATTGTTTTAGAATTTTATTTATAACTACGATTCATGTTAATTCTCATCCAGAACTCTAGGTGGCAGTAATGCTCCGCTTTTCCCACTGCATTCCTCAAAGCAGGAAGAGCAGTCATCATGCACTCCACAGCAGCATCTCGTGTCCGTCCTGTGCTACTGGAGAGGAAAAACTGTGGAAATGCAGACATACAGCATGCGTCTGTCCTGAACTGAAGTAAGAAAGTATGCTGTCAGGTCAAATAAGCGTCTGGGTTTGTGCTTTGTCGGAAATGTGTTTTTATTTTCTTCTTTGGCTGCGCTTAAAACATAGTGTGCTCTATACCCAGAGTGCATTTCTGGATATAATAGGCGAATTTGTTGCCCAAAATGCTCGTTAAGTAGGCTGCTGACTACGTCTTACCATTATGATGACCAACAATTATGTCTAAATTAGGCACCTTAGTAAGTTTAGACACCACAATGCCCAAAAGGCTGTCTTGAAAGCTCATTATGTTTTGAAATACAGCCATTTCTATTGGTTTACTCCATATGTGTTACTGTACATGTACCTAAATGCTCTAAATAGTTTACAGGGCTCAACACTAAGGTTTTTTTTTCTACCTGCCTGGTTGGGATAGAGATTCAGATTATTACTTTCCCTGCCAAAATTTGTAATTAATTAAAAACTAAAAAATATATTATTTACATTGTTTTGACCCATGCCATATAACCCTATAATATTGTTAAGACAGCAACATTTTGATACCAGTGAAATTTCACAATTCTCAATCCATCTTCAATACCAAAGCATTTCAGGAGAAGATGGCTATCAAAATTGCATTCCAGGGGGTCACACCTTGGTGTGCTTCAACCTGTGGACTAAAAAAAAACAGGCCGCAGTATAAAAGTGGCCCAATTCCGCGGGAAAACCACAGACTTGGCAACACTGACCGCTAGCCTAACTAATAAAATATAAACATTATTAAAGAAAAGTTAACAGTCAATAATAAAATAAGAACAAATAAAGAAATTACAAGCAATAGCACAAATAAATTCAATAGAACAAAAAAATGATACAAATTAAATAAACAGTGCTTTAGGTTTTTCAGGCAGGTATAATAGTAGTTAGTATAAATTAAATATGCATTAATCTTTATTGACGCTACTAAAGTGATTCAGTCAAGAACAGTCAGTGATTTTCTCTTTGTCTTGTGTTGCTTGATTAACATTAATGACACAAACAGCAGCAGGTATATTAGGCTGATGTCCCTTTAAGACCTCATGCACAGATCCAATATATTACTGACTCAATTTGATTTTCACTGTTACATTCACTTGAGGCATTACTGGCTGTGTTTAGGTGACTACTCGCAAAGACATGCATTCTGACACTGAATTTACAAAATGAACACAAGCCTTAGAAACCTCCACCGAGTGTGTCTAAAGGCGTCATCAACCTAGAAACTCATGGTTCTGGGCTTAATGACGAAACTGTGAGGATGAGTAGCTGAATTCAGTCGCTATAAAATAATTAGACATCATAATGTGAATCTGTGAAAATATCTTGGAACTCTCCAGTTGATCCCACAAACTCCGATCTCTAGCGTTAGTTTGATCTGACGCTTCTGTGTGAGCTCTCAACCAATGATTCACTGGAGCTCCGGACCACCGCCCTCATGTTGCACATGGAAAAGTTAAAAAAAAAAAAAAACTAATAAATAAATCCATGTGAGAATAAATAAAAAAATAAACACGAATAAATGCATTTAAAAATAAATAAATACATAAAACAAATATAAAAATAGATGAAAGAATAAGTAAATAAAATTTTTAAAAAATAATAAAAATAAATGTAAAAATGAATACAGAAAATTATACATATAGGAAAAATGTAATAAAAATAAACTCATTTATTTATTTATCTATATATTTGTTTATTTATTTATTTTTTATTTCTGCAGGTTTGGTCCGCCATAGCTATATAAAATACTATGTATTTTATACGACTGACACCAGTGACAATAGCTATGTTTCCGCCACAGCTATGAAGCCACAAGGCACCTCAACAGCAGGACGAGCGAGCCACTTTACGATTTCCGTGGAGATCAATGGAGCTGCTCAGCAGGGTGTGGTCGATGGGGTCCTCACTGGCCAGAACTTCCCGGACAGCAGCCTCGAAAGCAGCCATATGTTTCCGTCACCCTGTTTTTATGCGCATTTTGAAGTATCGCATCAGAAACGAGTGATGGAAATGCTCAATTAAAAAAAAAAAAAACATCCCTTAATTCACAAAAAAAAAATGTATGCTCGCTTGAATTGGTTTTTGACTTGTGCGAAAAAGAGTTAATGGGAGATGGAAATGTATTTTGTAAATAAATTCCTCCATGCGCATCAAACAAACTGATGTGACTTTGTGCTATGGGACGGCATAACGTAGTCTCGCGCAGCCAGACCTTTACACTGACGGCAGAAGGTCTGGGGACCTTGGCCGCTTTGAATGGCCAAGGAGGCTATATGACTGATAGGTAAATCAACCAATCACGTTTTGTTTCGTGCCGCGTCATGTTTAGGGGTGTGGAAATGTCCCCACAATAACAGACCGTGTGTTAAACTCTTGGACTTATTTTATAGTCCAGGTTATATGTGAAAAATAATGTTCACTTTTTCATAAAAGCATGAAACTTGGTACACTTGTACAGTTTGGGGCCCTGAACATTTTCAGAAATGGAGCCATCGCAAAAATGCCTCGTGGTCGTCATGGCGGCCGTTTTACTTTCCGCCATTACCAAATTATTTATTTTGTATTATATCTCCTGAACCAACATGGTAACACAGAAAAGGTGATGTCTACCCCTATGTTTTTATAGTCAAGGATTACAATGATGCCATATACAACAACATAAACGCCTCTCTAGAGATGCACCGATCGATCGGCCCGGGATCGGAATCGGCCGATTTTCCCCATGATCGGCCCGGATCTGGGATCGGTCGGTCAGTCTCACTTCTTTCCGATTCCGAGCCGATCCGTTTTGTTACCAGGCAATAATGTCAGCTGCGCATTCGCGCTCTATTCTCTCCGACGACCCCTTCTCTCTCTCACATGTCTCATTCACTCCGGTTAAATAGTGCTTGTATTGCGCATTATTTTAGTCATTCCCGCAGGTTTCGCGCTTATACCAAACGCGCCCGCACCACCGCTGATCTATATTAGTGGAGCGCACAAGTCTCAGTCTCAAACAGCTTGTGAGCCACAAATACCAAAATGAGTGGCTAACTGCGCTAAAACGTGCAAATACATACAAAATTATGTCAAAAAGCCCGTCTTGGCGAGTATCCAGTTAAACACAGTCAGTTTTGGAACGTTTAATAGTTGAGAAAGAGAACGCATGTTGTGTAACATGGGCCTGTTTACACCTGGTCACTTCATGCGTTTTGTCTGATGGGATAGCTATCAGGTGTTGTAAAGACCAGGTGTAAATGCCCTCCGAAACGCATTCGAGACGGATATAAATCCGATCGCTCAAACCACTTCAGGAGGTGGTCTGGGCATCCGTTTTGCGACGACACATTTATGTGGCCAAGTGTAAATGGAAACGTTTTAACAAATCAGATAGAAACCCGATCAGCGAAAACGCATGAAGTGACCAGCTGTAAACAGGCCCTATATATTGGGTCCGTGGATAAACTCTTAAAGGGACTCGCAGTCCAATATTCCTGCTGCTGTCTGTCATGTTAATCAAAGAACAAAAGACAAAGAAAACCACTTTCTGCTCTTGACTGAAAACGTTTTTATGAAAATAAAACTTTGCGTTGAAGAAAAGTAGATTATTGTTTGTATATGCTGTCAATTATAGTTAGAAAGAAAATCGGAATCGGCAAAAATCGGTATCGGCAGATCACACTAACAAAAAAATCGGAATCGGCCAAGAAAATTGCAATCGGTGCATCTCTACACGTCTCCCGGAAATCCTGTATAATTCAACCAATCGGATGACGACTTCGAAACTCCTGAAGTGTTTCCAACCTGTCCTGACTGAAAGCCCACCGATCTCGTTGCACAGCATCTGAAATGTTGTTTTGGTCATTCTGCAATGCCTGAGTCAAAGTCTGCCGTCAAAGTATTTCTGTATAAATGCGTGCCAGAACTGTCTTACATGACTGCGCTCCCAAACAGCAGCATCCACCTCCGAAAGTGCTATTTAGTGCCAGTTTATCAGGAAGTGACGATTTTGTTCTCTTTGACTCGTTGGATGGAAATGGTGCTTTATTCACTCGTTTTATGCGATATTCCAATATAAGTTCGCAGCTTTGAATGGAAACCCGGCTACTGACAACATGACGAATGTAGTATGGATTGCATTCATGCTACACACATTCATACTACATAGAACATACTTTTTTAACAGTCCCTAAGTAACTACTTATTCAAAAGAAGTACTTATTCAGTGAGTACATGATTTTGATGCAGTCAAGGTCTTTTGCACTCAGTGTGCACGACCGCCCACACCGCGATGACGTCCTTTTTGCTGCTCGCTCCCTTGCGCTCTTGCGGGGACTTTCAATATAAACCAGGCTTAAATTTAAGCATCTTTCATGCTTTCACATCAGGCAATCCTTATCACTGAGTCCTTTTTTTTTTTTTTTGCCCTTAATAATATTCACACATGTAGATGCTTGAACTTTCTTTAACCAAGAAAACTTCAATGCAGTGTCTTTGTCTTTCTCAGGTTGACTATGGCGCTTTGCCTGTGGCTTATTATGGTGGTCCCTGTATGCTGCTGGGGACAGGGGCCAGTGGACACAGGGGACAGTGGTGTTTTCCAGCCCCAGAGTGCCCTCAGTGACATGGAGTTTGCCAGTGTGAGCTCGTACCGTGGCCCTGGAAACACTGACCCTCGCACCAATAATAAGCTGCCCATCCTTCTGTGGTGGAGCTCCAATCTTTTCCCGCACTTCCCAGGAGACACAGAGCGTGTGGACTGCGCCCGCTCGTCCTGCCTAGTCACAAGCAACCGCAAAGTTCAGCTGTATCGCCGCACGGCGTCCATTATTTTCTACGGAACAGACTTCCGGGCGTATGAGGCTCCGCTGCCACGTTTGGCCCATCAAACCTGGGCGCTTTTCCACGAAGAGTCGCCCATGAATAACTACCTTTTGTCTCACAGTGTTGGAATCAGGCTGTTTAACTACACAGCCACGTTCAGGAGGGAGTCGGACTATCCGCTAACGCTGCAGTGGTTGCCCTCTCTGGATTATCTTCTGAAAGCACCGGCAGTCCCTCTGCAGGAGAAGAATCGCTGGAGACGGGCCGGTCTGGCCCCTGTGCTCTACATACAGTCCCACTGTGATGTGCCTTCAGACCGCGATCGCTACGTTCAAGAGCTGATGAAGTATATAGAGGTAATACTGTAAGAAATGTCAGATTTTCATACATTTGTAAATATATTTAAATGGTCAGGTGCTTTAGCAACCAAGAATACCATAGCATACACTGTGCGACTTTTGCCAGTTTGCTAGTGGTCGAAAGTCAGAGCCACTCTGCAGATTTGAGGCAGTCGGAGTTGCAAATCATGCAGCATATGATGGGCAAATTACTATAATAATTTTATATATACAGTGCTGGGTAGTAACTGATTACATATAATCTGGATTATTTAATCAGATTCCAACAATTAAGTACTTGTAATTAGAGTATATTACATTTTGAAATACTCTTAATCCGATTACAGTTACTTTGTTATGGATTACATGATTACATTTTATTCACACAATGGCAGTAAATTATTCATAATGGAAGTCTGGACAAAAACATTTCAAACCTGGAAGACTTTGGGCGTGTGCTGTCATTGTTGTTTTCATGTTTGTTAATGTTTGTTCATATAATAATGCATATAATAATATGCATTCCCAAGGAATTCCCAAACATTTTTGTCAGCCGAACCCCTTAAAGTAAAATATATACTCTGAAATATCTCTGAGGAAGTTAATGTTTCAAATAATTTAACAACACATTCACAGTTCTCTGATGTCTGTTAAGGTAATGTCTGACATGCAGGTAAACAAATAAAATATATTTTTTATTTTTAGTGTTCAAGAGTTTAAATTTTTTTTTATTGTACATTTTTATGATTTAATTATTAGCTTAACTCACAAACCCATTGCAGTTCTTACATTAAGCCCAGTTTGGCAAACCGTGGTGTAATGTAATGTTTAATGCATTTTATGATGTTGGTATCAAAAAATGGAATATATTTTCTCTGTCTTTTTTTATATCAATATGGTACTTTTAATGTAAGCTTAAAACAAGTTTGATAAAAAAAAAGTAATCCAAAAGTAATCTAAAAAGTAGTTGAATTACATTAAAATAAATTAGTAACTTAGATTACTAATTAGAGTTTTCATCATGTAATCAGTAACAGACTGAGTAATCTACCCAGCTCTGTGCATATATACTGTGTATATATATATATATATATATATATATATATATATATATACACTATAGTACGTTTATGCATTTGGCAGACGCTTTTATCCAAAACAACTTACGTTGCATTTGAGGTACATATTTACATTTTCTCAGTTCTAACTTGCCCTGGTAAATCAAACCTATGACCTTGGCATTGCACCATGCATGCTTTACTGTTTGAGCTACAGGAATGCATTCCTTTCTAGAGCAGGTCATATGGGTTTTTGAAAAATATCTCTTTTGCAGTTTATAACGTAGCTATCTATATATATATATATATATATATATATATATATACACTATAGTACGTTTATGCATTTGGCAGACGCTTTTATCCAAAACAACTTACGTTGCATTTGAGGTACATATTTACATTTTCTCAGTTCTAACTTGCCCTGGTAAATCAAACCTATGACCTTGGCGTTGTTAGCACCATGCACAACTATTTGAGCTACAGGAAAGCTTGAAAGAAACTTGAAAGTCTAATAGTATGTGATAGTCGTTTTGTGTATGAAACGTAGTTTATCTCTGTTAACATTTTCAAAGTCGGCAAATGTATGATACCTAATGTTTTAAAATCTGTTCAGATTTTAAGTCATCTAGTGTATTTCCAGCCTTTTGTAACAATATCAGAACACCATAGCAGTGCCCCAGCAAATATACAGAATATAAAATACAGAATATTCTATGCACGCCTTAGCCACCACCCACATACGCTAGGATATACATACAGTGCGTGCAACTCAAATGTGTCATCAGCACAGTATCTGTGTAGCCTGATACTCTGTACAGTACATGCAGCTCTCATGTACTACACACTGAATTATTTTGCACTGATTAGTTTGTCCACAAGGTGGCAACACTGGCCCAGCCTGATGTTTCACAGTCAAAAATGAAACTGAAGAGAAGGAACAAGAAGAAACTACTGGAAACACAACAACTATAGACATGTTGAATAGTGCATGTGTGAAGGGATTGAGAAATAAACCAGTTTAAATGAGTAAATTTGAGAAAAAATGAGTTTAAATGAAATAGCACTGACACTGGACCAGGGTGAAACTTTCTAGCGTGCATGTCAAGCACTTGTGATTGTGCACGCTATCAATAGTTTATTTTGAAGGGCCATATATTCAGCTGTGCACACATGCAAAAAACGAAGTATACTTGGGTCTTAAAATCCAAATTTTTATCATAATTGGTCTTCTCCTCAGATTGACTCGTATGGGAAGTGCCTTAATAACAAACCTCTGCCTGACTATCTGGAGGACACCAGCACAGCCACTGGTGAAGACAGACGCTTCATGAGTTTCGTCGGCCGTTATAAGTTCCAGCTGGCCCTGGAGAACGGCCTGTGTCCCGACTACATGACGGAGAAGCTGTGGCGGCCCATGCACCAGGGCTGTGTGCCCATTTACAGGGGCTCATCATCGGTGGCCGACTGGCTGCCAAACAGTCATTCCGCTATCCTCATTGACGAGTTTCACTCTCCACGGGATCTGGCGGAGTTCATAAAGACTCTGGATCAAGATGACGTGAAGTACTCGCGCTATCTGGAGTACAAAACGCCCAGCAAGATCACGAACCTGCGTCTGCTGGAGGGACTGGAGAACAGAGAGTGGGGTGTCAATGACATGAGTAAACCAAACTACCTGAACGGGTTTGAGTGCTTTGTCTGCGACCGAGAGAACGAACGTCTGGCGGCAGTGGAAGCGCACAGGAAGAACCCAAAACAGAACCCTCTGCCTCAACCAAAAATGGCCAACAGCTCACACATGGGCTGCCCGCTGCCCAGTCCTGGAGACGGACCTGTGGAAAGTATTGACCCAAATGATGGGTAAAAAGCTTTCATTTATCACTTTTTTGCTAATATACGGTATGTGCACTTCACTCTAAACTGCATCACTTTTTAAGTTAAAGGGGTCATGAACTGCATTTTTTTATTATTATTTAACAATGTTCTCTGAGGTCCACTTATAATGTTAGCCACACTTTAACATCAAAAAACACAATAATTCAGATGATGTGGGCTATTTTCTATCCTGTTTTTGACCCTCTCTGCAGAACAGTCTGTTTTTAGTGCATTCTATGATTGGCTAAGTTTCGCAAATTAAAATAATAAATGGACACTGCTGTGATGTTTTTAAGAAAACAACATGGGTCATTTGGGTTAAAAATGTATAAATACTCAGTATAAATCAAACGATCTGGAACAGCCAATAAAAACATGCACAAAATGTTGTTGGATGCAGTATAGTCAGACTCCGCATAATCTTTTACTTTCAGTCTCTGAAAAGCCTGCGTCAAACTGTCTTGTTTAAAAATGAATCTGCAGTAAAGTAAAGCAAACAAACATTGGAGCTCATTCCTAATGTTACCCTGTGTCTACACTCGATGCAAGCAGCACAACAGTGATTATAATCAGTGATTCTGTCTACACTGGGTGTGGTGTGGAGCGACACAACAAATCCCCCACAGTAAACATGAAAGAGATGACAAGAACATTAAACATGAAAGAGAAATGGATTCGCAACGTGACGCAGCTACAGTGTCTTGTAATCCTCGGAGGATCTCTAAGGTTTTGTTGGAGTAATCCTGTCTTTGCATCTCTCCTCCTACTACATGCGTTAACCAGTGGGCGGGGCTAAAGAGGCAGTGATGTAGAAGTAGGCATTGCTTTTATTCTGCAGAGGCGGTCTTTCGTTGCACTATGACGTCATAATGTGACATTTTTTTAGCTTGGTTTCAATAAAAGCTGTTTTTGATCTAAGCTTACAGGATGTTTTTACAGTACATTGACCTGCTATATGTCAAAAGATCAAGGAAAATTAGATTTCTCAGTTCATGAGCCCTTTAAATGTGTTGTGAATGTTGTTTTAAAGCAAGACGCGGAGTAGAGTGAAACTGTGATGTGTGTTTATTCTCAGCTGGCTCCAGATGTGGCCACAGGACTACTGGCAGAGTCTGGATCAAGCTGAGGGTTTGGAGTCGCTCGTGAGACACAATGTGTCAGATCCGTCCTTATTGTGGCAGCATATACAGAGCATCGCAGTGAGGAGAGCCAGAGGCCGATGAGATGATCTCAGGACTCACCATCCACCTGAGGGGACGTCACAGGTCAAAACGTCCTCTGACAGCTCAAAACTATTTTACAATCCACCCAAGGCTGATGAGCCGTTCTTGAAATGTTACATTTTTGACATTTCTAGTCTAATAACAATAATCTCAACGAGCCGTTTTAGGTAGGCGTGGCAGAGTCTTAACTTTTATAAAGAATATCTCTTTGGTTTTGAGACTTTAGTCTTTGCAACTTCAGGGATCTTATCTATGCACAATCAGCTTGTAACACTCCAAAGAGAAAGGAAAACTTGAAATCGCATCATATGACCCCTTTAAATATTTCCTGTCAGTATTATACATTCATAATGAATGTTCTTGAGCTGCATGTTATTCTGGAGGCTTCGGCGGATGTTGAACGTTCACAGCTCACAATCACTCAGGCTTGCTTGCACCATCACAGAAGATATCATGGACGGATATCACTGCAGTTATGGAGGACAAAGTTTCTTTGCATGATGGTCTTGAAGAGTGACTCTCATGAAAACACGTCAAGGTCAAATGTCACTACAAAAATCAGAAGGAAAAAATACTGCATAAAGTAAAGCAGCCCCCTCTTTTGGACCATTAAGATTTTGGATAGTAATGTTATTTTCATGATAATTAAACACATACATCAAAACTATGTTGATTATGTGTCTGGATGATTTGACTTATTCTCAATGGTGATGCTTATTATTGAACATACAGCAATTCCCATTTTTAGTAGTTAAAATTTAGCATTTTTTCAAACTAATTGGACGTTGGAACGAAGTTTGTGACGAAGAACGAAGTGTCACAATTGAAAGTTAATTTTTGCAAATAGTATAGTGAATGTGTGTGATTCTTCTATAAGCAAAATGTAACACGATTTTTGAGTGAGCTGGACCTGTTCTTGAGTGGTTCATGAGATTCTCCTATAAAGCCCCGTTCACGCCAAGAACGATAACTATAAAGATAACGATATTAGCGTCCACACCAGCGAACGATATCAGCTGTGTCTCATTTAGAAGGCTGCGCCCTCCGGAGGTCGCATCCTCTGTAGGATGCATATACGAAGTAGGGATGGGCGTATCGATCCGAAGTATCGCTATATCGATACTGACGCGAGTATCGAAAGTATCGATACTCATACAAAAAATATCGATACTAAGGTGCGTTTTATTTACCAGTGGTTGTGTTTATTTAACAAAAATAATAATAATAATAAT